GCTTGCTAGCTTCTTGCTACTAGTAGTGTTGCCCTTGTTCCTAGTAGTTTCTTGCTACTAGTAGTAACTAGTAGCAATCTTCTCAAACAAGATACATACCCTTGTGGAGGGCGATCCAAACTGCTTGACCACTTCCATCGGACTTTCAAGAAAGCACGGTCAAAGGACGTCTATAACGTCAACACCACATATTTGATACTATGACGTGTTCGTTATACCAAGATCAAGTGCATATGACTTCCAATCAGTTTCAACTCCTCACACGACGAAGATCGCCCCAGTCATTGGGCTTGCAAGACTCTGTCCAAGCCCAAGGTAATGGATTTGAGATTTTAACGAGTTTAGTCGGCAATCCAAGGGTGGGACAGCCAAGCCCGCTTCATAGCAGTGGCCAAGTGTGGATATGACTATATGACATGATATGATAAAACGTTATTGAACGCACACTCAACTTTTCGGGCTCTTCACTATGTGCACTCACCACCAGTTTGGTATTCGGAAAATGGTCATCCTTCCGTGCACATGCCCTCCACGTACTGTAAGTGTATTACTGTATTTACCCTATAGTGGCCCTAGGGATCCAAGTACCTTCTCAGAAGGTACAACTGGACCCTCAAAACCTAGATAAGAGTGTCTCACGCATCACCGTACCGGAGAAGGTACGAAAACGGATCCCTAGGGATGGGTATGGATGGGTGAAGCAAATGGCACAATAGTGGTTGACATGGAGCCATCACTGAACCCATCATCTAAAAGATATATCTTGGGGTGCCAGTGCCATCAACTTCGCATCCGAGTCACAGCCAACAGTCGCGGCAGGGGCCCTCGATAAGGTCCTTCCGACAGATTTCGCTGAGACCTCAATACAAGGAAGCCGAAGAAACACGGGCCTCCCATGCCCCCACCTTGAATCGGTTTAGACTTTAGACTTTAAGCCGTATAAATCTGCCAGAAACTGACTCGGACGAGGCCGAAGTTGAAATGACTCGAAGAGGTTGAAGGATGATCATGGTTCAAAAGTCTTGTGAACACCTCTGGGGTAGCATGGTCAAGAAAGGCTCAGGCTTTGCCACGGCCAGTGGAAATCAGCAAGACTTGGATTGGCTTTCCAGGAAGCCGGGAATGAATTACACCTCTTCCCCAGGTGTCCTGCGATTCACTCTTCGGAAAATACACAATCCGATTCGCCAAACTAGGAAGAGCCACTGGTAGATTGGAGATCTGGCAAAATCAGTGGCCTGACTCCCTCAGTTGGAACATGAAGAATAGCGAACTCTCCCCACCAGCCCCCAGCTCAGTGGGGCGCCCCAAGCCCCCCAAGAACTTCAGAGCCCGGTCCTCGATCCTGGGAACTGGCCATTTTGCTCGCAGCGGACCGCCGGGTGTAACAGGGTGAGTCACGACCCATCCCCGTGAAGTGCATGCACAAAACCAGCTCCCCCCGATTGGATCTGCCAAGAAGCTCTTGCTGTATCTCAAGAACGATGTCACGACCCTGCAATTGGATCAGCCGTCCAAGGCCGACGAACAAGGAGGAACGATCTGCCAAGACCAGCTGATCAAGGGTGTGGGCATGTCTTTTGTGGCCAAGACTTCGGCTGATATGATTGCCGCATCGACTCTTGGCAAGCACCCAAGACTCTGCAGCATCTGAGGAGAAACAACGCCCAACGGTGCATACCCTGGCTCTCAAACCATGTCCACTTGCTCGATAAAGCTTCAAAAGAGGCGAAGCAGGATCCCTGCCCTGCTCCCCTCATGAAATAATCAACTCCACCCTTCCTGAACCAACAAAAAAAGGCTCTTAAAGCTGCTTATTGGAACATGATTCTTCCACGTATAGGGCCTTGTCGAACCCCCCCACAGACCAGCAGTAAGTAAGCGCTGAAGGAGGCGCTCGTCGGCCGTCTTCGGTATGTGAAGGTGGAAGTAGCGCTGATCCAGCTGAAGAGGAACTTCACGGCGCTCCTCCTGTTCGACGTTCGACGCTGAGCGGCGACGCGGAGCGGCTCTTTGACCGTGCAGGGCATCCCAAAAGGACGGACACTTGGAGGTCTCGCCCACCTGGAGGTCTCTCCACTTGATCAGGCATGTGGATTCCCAGGAACATGTTTGTGAATCTCAACAGTGATGGTCAATGGTCAGTGATATTTGGCAAAACAACATTGTCTGTTTTGTTCCTCTTTTGGGTGTCCCTTAGTGGAAATTTTGACAAACGCACCTCAAAGAAGCTCGACCAGTCTCTAGTCGGAATCTTTGAGAAGCAGTTCACCTGTTCACCGGTTCACCTGAAAGAAATGACGCTTCACCCAGCTGTGCCCCAGTGGCTACATGGAAAACAGCAGCAGCAACAACATCCTGCCTCGGGCATCAGGCCCTGAGCTGAACACTTGGGATCAACTGGAAAGACAGTATATAGGCCGGTCAACACGTGTTTCAATATACAATCCCTCTTCCAACAAGTTGCCTAGAACGTAGAACATCTCTTGACCATCTTCATTTCCCGTGAGTTCTCGGCGAGGATATAATGTATGCACACGTGTATAGAAAAATCTTTGCAACCCCTAGAACAACAATTCCCCTGACCATCTTCAGCCAATTAGACCATGCTTCAGCAAGATCCTCACCCCGCAAACCAGAAACTCATTCCAACCAAACACCCGCCGTCCCAGCATGTCGCTCACCTTGAGCTGAAGCAGCTGCGAGCCATGGACGGGGCAGGAAGCTGAAGCTTCCAAGGCCCACGCGAGGCCAAGGAGACGAGAGGCCGCTGAGAACACCATGGATCACGATGAATCAGGCATCGTGGCGGCGTCGATCCTGTCCTTCCAAGAGAGGTTGAAGGACCCAAACGTTCGACTATCCCATAGGTATACCCCAGGTGACGGGTCCTAGTTCAGGTCACTTAACCTCTCTTGGTTTGGGAACCTCCCACAGTTTCAAAAAGTGCGTGACCTTCTGGAAGAAACACATGCACTTGGAACTTGGTGGCAAATACGAGCGAACAATATTACAGCTTCAAAAACAAGTATGCCACTGGCAATACGATGTTTAGACCAAAAAATGGTTTCTTGTTGAACACAACACGCTGGTACAGTATAAGTATAAGTTAGAAGCACATGTGTTCGCCCGAAGCCGGAGGGCAGCCACCGAGCGGGGTCCCGCTCCACGCCTGCGGAAGATAGATCATGTAAAAAGTTGCCATGGTGAGTGAATACATCCTTCCCTAGGTCTCCAACCATATCCTCAGAAGGTGGTTGGACCCCCCAAACCCACCCCAACCACCTTCTCAGGAGGTGGTTTGAGCCCTAGGGATCATCCAATCAAGAGGCGCAAAAACACTCTGTATATGCATTTGCATGCATGAACATTCTGTACCAATCTCTGGTCTTACACTGGTCGTACAGTCGTTTCTACCACTGAGTTATAGGCATGGGCATGGGATTAAGGTTGCAACATCAAGATCAGATTCTCGGATGGGTTGGTTGAGAACGTTTGTTCGCCAGCGATCCATTGCACGTTTGTTCAAGCGACTTTGCACACGGTTTTCGGCTCCGGTGGCTTCGTGTTGTTCTTCTACGAGAATACGTTGCGCACTTGTTTCCCTCTGCTGGTCATTGAGCTGTTCAGCATCCTCGCGCGAAAATGCTTCCAAAGCCCGACTGAGCGCGACTGATCACTGAGCTCAGTGGATGGGATGTGGGTGTGGATCAAACATCTGCCTCCAAAGGCTGCTTGGAACAGGCCACAATTCATTCACCAGAGCTGTGGGTTTACCAAAAAACCTTGGTTGGAAAAGGGCAACAAACATGTTTTTCCCTTAGAAATCCGCACGTTTTGATCCGAACCCAAGTCGTTCCTAGCTAAGCCAATTGGGGAACATCGGGCTGACTGGGCCCTGCAGAAAAGCTCTGCAGTGCGGGCTGTGAAGCTAATTGGGCTCCAAAGGGCTCAAAAAAGGGCGAAATGAAGTAAACCAGGTTTTATGACCAGCAAGGGGTTGGGACTCCCCGTAGCTCGTTGGCTCCCGGTTTCAAGTGGAGGCGCTCCCAACATGGGTTTGACTTGATGTGACCAACATGCCCTAGGGCTCCAAGTACCTCCTCAGAAGGTATCACTGGACCCTCTAAACCCTCCCCAGTCCCACCTTCGAAACGAAGGTACGGCTGGAGCCCAAACGGGATGAGTTTCTCATTGAACATGTCAAGGTGAAGTCATGGAACTCCTCCTTCCCTGTTGGTGCCTGGTCTTTATAAGGACGGCGCATGAATTGGAGCTTGGTTTCAGGCGGGTGCTCCTCATTTCAGGAGCCCGCCGGTGTCCGGAAAAGAGCCTTGCCCCCCATGACTTCCTTAAACAAAAACTACGTAGATCCCCCAGCGTGGGTCAGGAAAAAAATCCGTATATTTATATGGCTGTTGGTGTTTTGCCGGCACTTGACTGCAAATTTTGAAACCGATCGAGTGTCTTTCGAGTGCATGTCCAGCTTCATTTGGAGTCCAGCTACACCAGCGCTGTACACTTCAGCCGGGCGAAAACTGCAAGCAACATTTCATTGCCAATAAGTATGTCTTTTTCATTTCAATGCCGCGACATTTTGGAACATTTTGAGCTGAGTATCTACTCATGTACTCCGCTGCAAGTAAACATGAAAACCAAAAACCACTGGGTTGGTCTTCGGATGGCATGGTCTTCCACTGATCCACAGGACAATTCTGCTTTCCAACCAGGCGGGCCCAACAAGACGGGAAGGCTCAAATCGGCTCAGACCTGGCTTCACCTGCTTCACCTGCAGGGTTTTTAAGCCACGCGGAGCTTCGGGAATGGAAACACGGTCTTCGCAAGGTGAGGAGTTCCCCATTCACAAAGCCAAACATGATTTTATGCCCAGTGATCCCCACCCCAAGAGGCGATTTGGAAGAAGGCAGGGCACACTACCGACAGACTATCCTGACAAGGCTGGCATCAAGTCGGGTGTGCATGTGTGTTCTGACACATCATCATAAAGTCCGCTAAGTGTTCTGGACCGTGTTCTGAAGTTGCTGTTGGCATGTGATCTGACTTGAGGCCAGAGGGGGTGAACGAAAGCTAGCCGGGCTTCCGGTGGTCTGCTGCTGGTGCTGCTGCTGCTGCTGGTGCTGCTGCTGCCGCTGCTGCTGCTGGCGCTGGGTGGTCTGCTGCGGCTGCTGCTGCCGCGGCGTTGGGTATGCTGCTGCTGCTGCTGCCGCCGCTGGGTGGTCTGCTGCTGCTGCTGGTGCTGCTGCTGCTGCTGCCGCTGCTGCGCTGGGCGCTGCAGATGCTTGGTGTGCTGCAGCTGCTTGGTGGTCCCGCTCACCGCGCGCAGGGGGGAGTCGAACCGCGGGGGGGGGGGGGGGG